TGCCTTGTGGGTTAGACTTTTGAGTCGAAGGCTCCGGTTAGGGTTCCCAAAGAAAAACCCCTTCGTCGGTGTAGGCTGCCGCGAAGTGTGTCGTGCCCTAAAGTTATAAGCACCCATTTGGAAAACGATCTTTCCCATCTGTCTAGTTCTTTTTCTCAATCCCAAATAATCCCAGGTGCCTCCGGTTTACGAGACCCATCGGATATTACTCAGCGTCCTGCTCAATCCGAGTCCACCAGTTTCATGGATGCGTAATATAGGGCATCTTGACAGATTGTTTCTCAAGGAACATTAGTTGATTAATCCGGTCTCGTTTTGTGTATTTTTTTTATTCAGTATTACCTCCACCAACTCCCCCACCCCTCAAGATCGTAAATCCCTCAATTAGGGAAACAGATCCGAGCAAATGGGACACGAGAAGGAGCGTATCCGTTAAACCACACAAAAAACAGTCACATTGTTACAAATACAAGTTGACTATTATAACACTCAGAAATCAACAAGCCGATTGACTTGTTTCGGTAATCTGATAATCGGCTGCCGGTTTCAGTTGTCCATTCCGTTCACTGCAGTTCAACTGATTGTGCATTGGTGTCAACTTCACGTCAAAGACCATGTTAGTCACCGGATCCACATCGATTGTACAGTCAATTGGCCCACCGTCCTCATCCTTCTGCCAACCCTTAAATTCCAACACATCCCGTCTAACATGAGCCTTTTCACGGATTCCCTTATCTGGCACACGTCCTCACTAACCAAAACCTAACGAGTTAACGTCTTAACCGTTAATTATCAGTGGATTTGCGCGATTTAGCCACTTTTTTCAATGTCTGATATCCGTTGTAATAAGTAGCGTCCGTAGAAGTGTAGACATTTATTTTGGTTAAGCAATACAAGGTGATTGCTTTGAATCTGGGAATGCGTTGTCTAACTACGGTTTCCTTCGTATATTTGATGAACTGTAGTGCTGCTTCTGGGATCTAGAAATGTTTTTAATAGTCTACTCTCCGAGGATACATAGTGAAGCGAACATATGTTTCCGGTTAATTCCTTTTCAATCTCCGAGGATATTTGGATTCGCGAAACAGTATGATTATAAGATAAAAGCATAATTCGAATAAATCTAAAGTCCTTTTATTTCACCCTTTCCATGTTCATTTCATCCGGTTTCTATCGCACCGTCCACCGTCTCAGATATCTATTTGCATTACAATTGAAGCGAGATTTTTTCAACGGCCTGTTGCACAGTAACCGGAATACCAGTCTGCTTTTGGCCGCTTTCATTGTCCAATGTAAGTCCCATTGTCCACCACTCCATTAACCAGACATTCTCTCGGTCGATTTCCTCGAACCGCTTCACGCGGGCGGGCGGGTGCGCGCGCGCGCGCGCACTCACTCACTCG